GCACCACTTAGATCGCGCGCCACATATATCGCACCATGTAGCTTGCACCACATATCTTGCACCACGTAGATTGCACCGCATAGCTTGCACCACATATACTGCACTACATCTATTGAACCACACATCTTGCACCGCACAGCAGGCTGGAATACACCGTTCGTGATCCACGCCGGCTAGCACTTGTTAGTATGTAAGTTTAGCAGGGGAAGTCGCCCAACATCGACTGCAGGGAGGGGGGCGGTTTTCGAGGGGTGACTGGAACGAGGAGGGGCTTGGAGTCCTATTGGGGCGCCTTGGGGCTCTCATGGCATGCCCGATGGCCTCTTGGGGCGGCTTGGGTGCCCCTAGGTGGACTCTTGGAACCTCTTGGGGGTCTCTTGGGAGCCTCTTGGGGGCATCTTGGGGGCATCGTGGGGGCCTCCTGGGCACCTCTTTGGGGCCGTCTTGGGGCACACGGTCGGAGGCCGTGCCCGCCTCGGCGGGCGCGGCGCGGGCATTCTACGGTGTGCAGCCCTCTTGCACGAGGCGTCCTCAACCTTGGTGCCTGCACAGAGCCGTTTGCTGCGAGGGGGATGGACACGCGCACGCCCGCCGTCTTTGCCTCTGCGGGCATGGGCAGGGATGGGGGGGCCAGGGAAGGGATGTGGCAGGGTTGGCGCGAGCGGCGAGCGCGAGGAGGACGACGAAGAGAGCCGTGTCAGACAGCCGTCGTTTTAAGTGTCGACGACGCTGGTGGAGGCCAGTCTGGGTGCGGTGGAGGTGCGTCGGGCTTTGCTCCAGCTGTGACGATCCTCTCAAACACTCTATCAACGCTGAGTGGCTCCGCCATATAGCTTACACCACCTAGCTCACGCCACATAGACGAGCACGTTAGCTCCACATGTATGCCACCATATATCTTATATTATAGGCATGTGTTGCACCACTTAGATTACGCACCACATATATTGCCTCATGTAGCTTGCACCACATACATTCTCCTTTATTTTCCTTTCTAAAAAGAGAATAGATTCTACCCCCCTGGAGTTATCGGTCCCCCTTTCGGGTATGTAAATCATCTATGATTCTGACCACATGTCCATCCTGAACATGAATTTACACTATCCCCGGGGGGCCGGGTTCCCCCCCCCGAGGCTCCCTTGTAAAAAACACTATGCGGTGACATTTGTTGTTCTAACATCGCACCTTGTCACGAATCCCTTGCAAAAACTGGGACGAAGTGCACACGCGCGCGTCGTCGCGCGCGCATGCCGAAATCCTTCAAAAACCTTCGGTGCCGGAAGGATTTCGCAATCGAGTTTTCCAAAAACATACAAAAACACAGGGTTTCGCAACACTGATTTGCTTAAAAAGCTTCCGCGCGAGCTCTTGCGAAATCTGAAGAAAACCATAGGTTTTTCAATATTTTCAAAAAATACAATTCAACGGGCTTCGCGCGCGCATGTCGAAATCTGTCGAACGCCCTTGCACTTGTGCCGTCGCGAGAATCCTCTGCAAAAAATGGGACGAAGTGCAGACGCGCGCGTCGTCGCGCGCGTATGCCGAAATCCTTCAAAACCCATCGGTTTCGGAAGGATTTCAAAATCGTGTGTCCAAAAAACCTACAAAAACCCAAGGTTTCGCAACACGCATTTTCAACAAAAGCGTGCGAGCGCGCTCTTGCGTCGTCGGCGTCTTCCTTCCTCCCTCGTCGTTGTCGTCGTCGGCGTCGCCGTCCTTCCTCCTTCTTCGTCGTTCGCGTCGGCGCCGTCCTCCCTCCTCCCTCGTCGTTGTCGTCGTTGTCGTCGTTGTCGCCGTCGTCGTCCTCCCTCCTCCCTCGTCGTCGTCTTCGTTGGCGACGTCGTTGTCGTCGTCGTCGTCGTTGTCTTCGTCGTCGTCGTCGGCGTCGTCGTCGTCGTTGTCATCGTCGTCGTCGTCGGCGTCGTCGTCGTCGTCGTCGTCGTCGGTGTCGTCGTCGTCGTGGTCGCTGTCGTCGTCGAAGTCGTTGGGGACGTCGTCGGTGTTGTCGTCGTCGGTGTCGGCGGCGCCGTCGTCGTCGTTGTCGCTGTCGTCGTCGACGTCGGTGTCGTGGCCAAGTGCCATCTGGTACCTACCGTCACGGTCTTGTCTTAAGATGTCTTGCGACCAAGTTGCGGGTGGGAGGGTGGGATGTTTGCACGAGCAGTGGAGAGGACAGCTTCAAGAAGGTCAAAGTGAATTGCACCACGTAGATTACAACGCATAGCTTGCACCACATATACTGCACTACATCTATTGAACCACATATCTTGCACCGCACAGCAGGCTGGAATACACCGTTCGTGATCCACGCGGGCTAGCACTTGTTAGTATGTAAGTTTAGCAGGGGAAGTCGCCCAACATCGGCTGTAGAGAGGGGGGCGGTTTTCGAGGGGTGACTGGAACGAGGAGGGGCTTGGAGTCCTATTGGGGCGCCTTGGGGCTCTCATGGCATGCCCGATGGCCTCTTGGGGCGTCTTGGGTGCCCCTGGGTGGCCTCTTAGAGCCTCTTGGGGGTCTCTTGGGAGCCTATTGGGGGCATCTTGGGGGCATTGTGGGGGCCTCCTGGGCACCTCTTGGGGCCGTCTTGGGGCACACGGTCGGAGGCCGTGCCCGCCTCGGCGGGCGCGGCGCGGGCATTCTACGGTGTGCAGCCCTCTTGCACGAGGCGTACTCAACCTTGGTGCCAGCACAGAGCCTTATGCTGCGAGGGTGATGGACACGCGCACGCCCGCCGTCTTTGCCTCTGCGGGCATTGGGCAGGGATGGGGACGCCAGGGAAGGGATGTGGCAGGGTTGGCGCGAGCGGCGAGCGCGAGGAGGACGACGAAGAGAGCTGTGTCAGACAGCCGTCGTTCTAACAGTCGACGCTGATAGAGGCCAGTCGGGATGCTGTGGAGGTGCGTCGGGGTGCGCTCCAGCGATGACGATCCTCTCAAACACTCTATCAACGCTGAGTGGCTCCACTCTGGCAGGGCACATGATTAGGATTAGCCTGCTTGGCAGAGCTGGAGCTCATTAATACCCCAAGGCTACTCTTACGCGTGTCCCAGGCCTGCCTGTCGACTGGTCTGGGCGCAGATATTCCGAATGCCTCAGTGCTCTTGAGGCTGTTACCTTTTGTGCCTCGCCTGAGAGCTGCGTGCGTGACGGCCGGCCCCAGTTGATGAGGCCGTTCCGATGATCCTCGCAGCACACGGTCGGAGGCCGTGCCCGCCTCGGCAGGCGTGGTGCGGGCATTCTACGGTGTGCAGCCCTCTTGCACGAGGCGTACTCAACCTTGGTGCCTGCACAGAGCCGTTTGCTGCGAGAAGATTCGGACCAACCTGCCTGGCTGAGCCGGAGCTAAGTATCAAAACGCTTCGCGTAACCCCACCAGCCCATTCAGAAATGATTCAGAGACGAGTTACACCGATCAGGGATGGATTTGGAGTTTGATGCAGTGTAAGGAAGAGTTGGGCAAAACGTCGCACCTTAAGAGGGGGAAGGATGGAGGAGGAATCGGAGGAGGAGGAGGAGGATAAGGAAGAGGATGAGGAGGAGTAGAAAGAGGGGGAAGGACAAGAGGGACGAGGAAGGAGGAGGAGTAGGAGTAGGAGGAGTAGGAGGAGGAGGAGGAGGCGGATGAGGAGGAGGAGTAGGAGTAGGAATAGGAGGAGGAGGAGGAGGAGGAGGAGGAGGAGGAGGAGGAGGAGGAGGAGGAGGAGGAGGAGGAGGAGGTTGAGGACGATGAGGTGGCGGTGGAGGAGGAGGATGAGGAGGAGGAGGGCGAGCACCACGGCCAGATGCCGCCTGGATGCCTCTCGGAGTCTCTTTGGATTTCTTTCGAGAGCTTCTTGGAGTCCAATTGGGAGGCCGTGCCCGCCTAGGCGGGCGCGCCGCGGGCATTCTACGGTGTGCAGCCCTCTTATACGAGGCGTACTCAACCTTGGTGCCTGTGCAGAGCCTTGTGCTGCGAGAAGATGCTTGGCAGACCTGGAGCTCATTATTACCTCGAGGCGACTCCTCGCACAAGTCCCAGGCCTGCCCGTCGACCTTGAACGGTCTGGGAGCAGATATTCCTACCCTTGAGGCTGTTTTCTTTTGTGCCTTGCCTGAGAGCTGCGTGCGTGACGGCCGGCCACATTTGATGAGGCCGTTCCGATGATCCTCCCAGCACGCGGTCGGATGCCGTGCCCGCCTCGGCCGGCACGGCGCGGGCATTCTACGGTGTGCAGCCCTCTTGCACGAGGCGAACTCAACCTTGGTGCCTGTGCAGAGCCGTTTGCTGCGAGGGGAATGGATCATCATCGTCGTTGTCGTCTCGTCGTCGTCGTCGCCCGCCGTCGTCGTCGTCGTCGTCGTCGTCGTCGTCGTCGTCGTCGTCGTCAGTGTCGTCAGTGTCGTCGTCATCATCATCACCATCATCATCGTCGTCGTCATCATCATCATCATCGTCATCATCATCATCATCATCCTCCTCAAAATCACTGCTCAACATCCTTCCCGTCGTCGTCGTCGTCGTCGTCGTCGACGTCACCCGACGACGTCGTTGTCGTCGTCGTCGTCGTCGTCGTCGTCGTCGTCGCGGTCGTCATCATCATCATCATCATCACCATCATCATCATCGACGCCATCATCATCATCAGCAGCAGCACCACCACAACCACCACAACCACCACCACCACAACCACCACCACCACCACCACCACCGTCGTCGTCGTCGTCGTCGTCGTCGTCGTCGTCGTCGTCGTCGTCGTCGTCGTCGTCGTCGTCGTCGTCGTCGTCGTCGTCTACCGTCGTCGTCTTCGTCGTCGTCGTCTCGTGGTCGCCGTCGCCCGTCATACTCATCATCATCAGCAGAACCATCATCAGCATCATCCTTTCGTCGTCGTCTGTCGCCCGTCGTCGTCGTCGTCGTCATCATCATCAGCATCATCATCATCATCATCATCATCATCATCGTCGTTCCCGTCGTCGTCGTCGTCGTCGTCGCCGTGATCGCCATTAGCATCCCCGTGCTACAGGACGAGGCCGTCCGGCTCGGGGCCGTGGGCGCGCTGTCGCAGCTCGCCGCCCGGGACGACAGGACCCCCCGAGGGGGGCGCTGCGCTCTGCGCTGCGCGCTTTGGCGCCTGCCGCCTAGGGTCGCAGGCCTAGAGATTGACACCAACACCAATTTCGGCGGTGTGCCTCCACCGAGGGAAGAAGATCCCGATCTCGGTGATGGTGGTAATATTCTGGCTTCCAAGGTGGCCGAACCATTACCACCAAGACCGAAAATCTAGGATCATCTTCCCCCTGTGGAGGCAACCCTCTGTCTTGGTGTTGGTGCCAATTTCCAGGCCTCCGATAGGGTGCATGCGCTGGAGGCGTCGGCGGGAGAGAGGAGGGTCGGGGGCGGCAAAGAGGGGGGGGATGATTAGGGGGGGTAATTTTACTAGTGGGGCGTATTTTTTGACTGTTTGGATTATTTTTTGGTGTGACTACTTTTAGATTCTCTTGTCTCGCCCAAAATCCGCCGCTAGAGGGACACGCCCGACCTAAGACTAGAGGGGGGTGGATATCATGGCGGGGGCCATGATGTTTCCCCAGATCTCATGGCGCCTCTGCTTGCTTCATTACGTGCCCCGGCCCCCCCCACCTGGGCCGCGCACATGCCGCCGGCCATGATTTGCGCCCCCCCCTCTTGGACGCCCCCCTCTTGGCCGCTCCCGAGAGGGGAGGGAGCAGGCGGCCGCAGGCGTCCAGCAGCGGCGAAGCGCACGGCCGCACCGGAGTGAAGTCGGGCCTGTACCTCTGCGGGAGGAAAGTTCGAAAGCAGCAAAGAAACAGTCTGGGGGCGGTTTTCTGGTTCTTTTTCTGCCATTATTGAATTTTTTCTGGGTGTTTGAGATTTTTCGACCGGAATCCCCCTGTAGGGGGACATGCCCGACCTGACATTGGAGGGCCAAGTCTCCTACCTGCTTCTCTCGGCGGCGAGCGAGGGGGGGAAGTGAGAAGGAGAAGTCCTTCTCAGAAGTCGGCGGGACTTCTCAGAAGCCCTCGCGCCTTCTGAGAAGTTTTTTTGTTTGCCTTCGGGGAAGGCTTAGAACCAACTTCTCAGAGGGCCAGGGGACTTCCGAACCTTCTGAGAAGGCCTTCTCCTTCTCACTTCCCCCCGGGCTCGCCGCCGATGCTAGAACACCAACATCTGGGGCCGATGACAAAGACAGTTCTCGCGTTCTGTCCCAAAAACTTCTGTGGACACATTGGGTGCCGTGACGTCCACAGTTCTTTTCGGGGTGGATACGTCTATTGACAACGTGGCCGTTGCGTTCGGCGCGGTGCAGGGTCGGAGAAAGGGTAGATCCGTCTGCGGTGTGTTCCTGTTCTAGAGCAGGTCCCACATGGTATTCCAATGACTGCAATCTCTACAGAAGCCGTGGAGAGCGTGTCAGATAGAGATCGTTCTCTCATTCCTTGTCTTGCCGATCTGCGCGGGCCTTCGACCCCCCCCCCCATGGAGTAGATTTTGGCTGTTTTTGGCGCCTGTTTCAAGCAGGTGGAGTCTCCCCCACATGACGCACTGTTGTAAACAGTCTAACCAAGCAAGGGTCTGGAGCCAGACCCCCCCCTCCCCCCTTCCTCCCCCCCCTTCCGCCCCATGTCGAGACGCCGAACAAGAAAACGTTCGCCAACTTCTGCAGAAATCGTGGAGCGCGCGTCAGATATGGTCCGGCCAGCCGACTGGACCACTGCATCCCCGCGCGATGTCTTGCTTCTGTGGGACGAGATCCAAGGCCATGCCAGGAGCTACGTATTTCCTGGAAGAGCGCGAGTTCGAAGTCCGAAGCTTGAGGTTTTCGTCGTCGGTTTTCGAAGGTTCCCAGCGGCTTTCCAGCCTCGGGGTGCTTTTCAGCAGCCGCGCCTCGCCGCGGGTTATCCTCCACGGCTGCCCGGATCGTCCGACCGACCGCCGAAGACCCGAGTTGCGACCCGAAAACAAGCGAGAAGGATCACTTTGGGGGATGGGTTCACGGGGGGGTGCTCGAAAAGGCGCCACAAACAGAAACTCTTGGTGCTCCGCGTGAATTTCTTGCATCCGCGCTGGGCTCCCGCGGCGGCGCCTCTGGCGCGCTCCGCGCGCCAGGAAGGGGGTCCAGGCTAGATCCAAGAGATCCGCGCGGAGAGCCAAGAGTTGATGTCTATGGCGTTTCTCTTCTTCTAGATGCATCGACCCTCAATCGCCCATTGACCGCCAACAGGGGCCCGATAGTCCATCCCGCCCAAGAGCATGCGGATCCGCTATCGCCGATCCACCGGCAATGTATCGCCGATTCCAGGGCGATGTTTCCCCTCTTAAGCCGGTCCCCTCTCAGCCCTTGCTTTCGGTCGTCGTTGTCGTCGTCGTCGTCGTCGTCGTCGCAGCCCCGCGAGAAGGGCTCGCGCGCGCACGAGGCGACGGCATGCGCTTCCCTGCGATGGTGTGGTGGTGCTTGTGTTGTACATGATGAGGCTGCTGCTGCTGCTGCTCATGCTAAG